GCTCTGCTGCTGTCCCCGCCCTGCCAGGGGACCCGTGTGCGTCAGTTTCCCCAGAGGGCAGAGAGCTCCTACACCCCACAGCCTGGGGATGCACCCCAGTGCAACTGGGCTGAAGGGAAGGGCAGATTTCTCTCCCACTGGCCCAGAGGCCAAGCACAGAGCCACTCAGCCCTGATGGGGAAACAGAACCACAAGCTTGGCTGCTCCAGCCTGCTCCTGGGGACCTCCTGTGGGAGCCTGATGAAACCAGGCTTTAGGGCACCCGAGCCCTGCAGTGCCCGTCTCCCTCCCAGCTCTGGGCTGGAACAGGTGAATAAAAGATTTGAGGGGCAGCTCCGAGCCCCAAGCAGTGACACACACAGGTCCTCACGCACACAGGGGAGCAGGGCTCGTGCCAGCCCCACCATCTGCAGCTGCCAAACCGGCCCCGATGAAAACCCCAACTGTGGCAACTGATTTTCCTCACAGGGAAAATCCGTGTGAGACCAAGCTAAGGAGTTTGAGTGGGGCGCTGTGCCCAACTCCCACTGCCCCATCAGCAAACATCAGGAGTGGGACGAGAGCACAAAGCACCAAGGCTTTGTGCCTTGCATGCTTATTTTGGCTAAGCGTTTCCTTTCCCACCGCTCCCAATCAACAAGGATGCATTCGAAGCATGGACACAAATTTTGGGAACTCCTACAGTGAGGAGAAAGGCTTCCTCTTTGGGATGTCTCACAGCAGGGCAGGGCTGGGTGTGCATGGTACTGGGGTCCCATGCTGAGCATGTCACTAATGCCCAGAGGTGTCTGGTGGGACAGCAGGTGGGACAAGCACCACTGCCTCCAGGTCCCTCTGCAGATCCCCATGGCTCAGCCCAGCGTGAGGAACAAGAAAGCACTCAAAGAGAAGCAATAACAAGTCTGCTGCTTCGGCTTTTCACCACGTGTCCTGCAAAGCCTCCAAGAATTTCAGTCCCTTCTCACCCCCACCTCTCGGCGGAGAACAGCCGCCACCGCAGGTCCCGCAGGGACACGAGTGGGATAAGAAGGAAAAGGTGTTTATCAGCACCCTGCCAAGGGACACGGGGTACAGCTACACCCCAGCCAAGCCAAGCCACCCGCCCTGTCCTGCCAAGGGGCACCCGGGGCAGAAAAGCCGAGGGGAGCGGGGCAGTGATTTATCCTAATCTGGCGGCGGCATGCGGCATCTGGCGGTCCCCAGGCAGCAGTGTGGGAATGCTGTGTGTTCCCCCAGCCCCTCGCCGCCAGCCGGCCTCCCATTCAACAGGGGAAGAAAGGGAACAATAGCTATTCAGGGCCTGCCAGGGTCGCGACCCCCCCAAATCAGAGCTGTTTAATGACCCAAAATACCAACATCCCCAGCAACCCAGGGAGAGACAGAACAATCTCCCTTTCAGTCCTCCACCCTGGGCAACAATAGCCCTCAGAAGCTGGCCCCCAGCCACCCTGCTCGCAGAGGTCCCTTGTCCCCACACCCACGGGCAGGGGAGGGTCGCCGCCAGCCCCCAGGGCTGCTGGGGAAAGAGGGACAAAGGAGGGTGTCTGGCGCTCTGCTGCACCCCAGGGACAAAGCACGCTGGCCATCACGGGGGTGTTTGGGATCATAACCCCCCATTCTAACGCCCTGCCGTGGGTGCTTGCGCCCTACATCCCAGACAAGCCCAGGAGGTGGGGGACAGACAGCTGGGACCCACTCACCTGCCCGTGCCCTCCCCGACCATCCCTGCACCTGCTTGTGTCCCTGCCCTGGGGCTGCCATCCCCCCGGGATGCAGGATCTGTCACCCAAGTGTCTAGGTCGATGGCGGCTCAGATCTAGCACAGAGGGAGCCGGGCACGGCCCTGGAAGGGTGTGCAGGAGACGAGCTCTCCTGAAGGGAGAAGGATGGGGTGGGTGCAACAGGGCCCTACAGCAGCGAGCAGGGCGGGCAGCACGACCCCGGGGGGGACCAGGGACGCGGGCAGGACGGGCAGCGAGGGCAGGGCGAGGACCTGCGGATCGGGTGGGAGGACACGGGCGAGCTGGCATCGCGGCGGGATCGGGCACGGCGGGGCCCGGCAGCGCCGCTCGGTGCAGCCCCGCACGGCCCCGGAGCGGGGACACCGGGACTCCCCTCCCGCCCGCCGGGCCGGCCGTGCCGCCGCGCGGGGCCGGGCCGCGGGGCCGACTCACCGGTGTCCTGGCGGAACTGGTGCATGGACTGCAGGTCGATGATGTAGGGCGCCAGGCGGCTGTCGGCCTGGCCCAGCACCACGCTGCCGCCCGCCCGCGGCCCGGCGCGGGCCACCGCCTCGATGTGGTGGCTGACGGCCGGGCTGTAGGGCCGCCAGCGCCCGTGCTCGTTCAGCCATTCCCACACCACCACGGCCGAGGCCAGCAGCATGGCTCCGCCGCCCCGGCCGCGGCCCCGGCTGGCTGCGCCGCTGCCGCCCGCCCCGGCGGCTCTCGCATGCTCGGCGCGGCGCAGGGCTCTGCCCGCCCCCGCCCGGGGGGGGGCCCCGCCGGGGGGGGCGCCCGCCCCCCGCCCCCGCCCGGGGCCGGAGCCGCGCACGGCCGGGCCGCCCCTCGCTCGCCCCTGCGCGCACCCGCGGCGCCGCCCCCGGCCCGCTCCGCCCGGCCCCGCCCGCACCGAGCGCCCCGGGCCGGGGGCGGCACCGCGCCACGTCAGCGCGCCCCGCCCCGGTGGCACCGAGCGACCCGCGGGGAGCGAGGGACCCATCCCGCACCGGGGCATCTCCCACTGTCCCGGTATCCCTGTGCTGCATCCCGCTTTCCCACTGTCCCCGTATCCCTGTGCTGCACCCCGGGTCCGCTCTGTCCCCGTACCCCTGTGCTGCATCCCGGGTCCGCACTGTCCCCATACCCCCACCCTGCTCCCCTGGGACCCCTCCCAGTGTCCCTGTACCCCCACCCTGCAGGCCCCCCGTACCCCTAACCAGGTGTGCAGCCCGGGGGGTCCCTGGTGTCCCATCCTTGTGGAGACCCCCAGTCGCTGCCTGCCAGCAGAGACTCAGGGTGCTGGTGGGTCACAGGGAAACTGCTCCATGTGCTGTGTCATAGAAATGTCGCCCAAGAGCTTCTTCAGGAAGTGGCCCCCTGGGCTGCTCTTGCCCATGACCCATGACACACAAAAATTGTTTCAAAGCCCAAAATTGCCTCATGTCTGAGGGCACGTGGGCTGTAACCCCAGCTCCTGCACCCCAGCTCTCCCAGCTGCCTGGCTGCCCCTGCTGTGACGTGCAAAACCCTGTGCAACCCTCAGACTCAGGAGCAGCCAGCGCTGGCCCTTCCCAGCAGGCCAGAAAAACATTCCTGAGCTTGTTCTCCCACAGAGCCCC